GACGGCAGTATTCCCTACAGCAGGGGACATAGCAGATATGTGATGTATATTATGCTGAGAGCAAATTTCTGGCATTTGACATAATTGAATTATCCATATTTATCAGTGAACTAGCCCCCTATCTATCAGATTATGCTTAAACTAGCGTTTGAGTACATTCAGGTTAATGTACAGATGTAGGAATGAAGTGGCTTTTACTCAGAAAGATAAATCCATTCTGCTTTGCAGTTTACGTTCTGCGCATGGTACCCAAGATGAAGCCTGATATATGTGTGTATTCTTCTCGAAGATTCCTCTGTGTGTGTGTGTGTGTGTGTGTGTGTGTGTGAGAGAGAGAGAGAGAGAGAGAGAGAGAGAGAGAGAGAGATAGATAGATAGATAGACACATCGGCATATGGAAGCATTAAACAACAGTTCTGCACAGTACCTGACCTGTCCTATGTCACTGCTATTGCCTGAAAAATGACCTTAATGCTCAAAGGTATTTATCAATGGGAATTAAGTTCTAAATACCCATTGAAGATCTGGGTTCTTGATCACTGCTGGAGTCAGTATCTAAAGCTAGTCATTTTCTTTAAATGCACATACAGAATAATGAAAGTTGAGAAGAAAATAACTGGCTGCTGTGCTGTTTTACTACAGCGTGAAGGTTCAAAGAATGCTTTGCTAAATCGATCTTATTTAAAAAGAAAAACTGAACGCATTTTCTCCCTTGGGCAAACATTTGAAAAGCTGAAGACTAAATTTTGCTCATTAAATACAAAAATACCTGCTAATTGGGGATATCTGCTTCTCCCACAAGACTCCTAACACTATCATTGTTGTACTGATCTTTCTCTGGATGGGAAATCATTAAGGCTGCATTAATGTTCCGCAAATTCCTGACGACTGGTTTAGAATATTCTGGGCATGGTCTGTTTTAATTAGCAGTGTTTGCTCGCAGTGCAGTTAACCAGCTCCAGTGTCAAAAAAGTTCATGGTGGTTTTAATGGTGCATCAGCAAACCTGGCTGGATGACTGACTGGGATAATGAAAATCGCAAGCATCAACGCATTGCTGAATAGCATTATCAGCCCTGGGGATTAGTTTGCTGTGCATGTGAAAAAGGAAATCCTTCTTTCACTACAGTCACATGGGTTGCCCAGGGAGAGAGTTTAGTGTTTCATTTGCTGCACATGATTTGATTGTTCTGCCATATATTTACCTGTGATAACTGAAAGTGGTGAGTTTTAAAGGGACACCATTTATTTTAAAATCTGTCTCCTCTCCCCCTTCCCTCCCACCTTAATATCCTATTGTTACAAGCAACATCTAGTGTTACTGTGACTGAAGTCAATGAGGAAAAATATATGTTCCCATATTTTCTGTTTGTTTACTTTGTGCACTTGACAGTGCTTTATGCAGGGTCAATGCCACATGTGACTCTGTCAGAGATCTCCAATCTGGAGGGTGGAGAGGCTCCACTCTTGCTTCCAACTATGGCTCCACCATCGCTCCACCAGCCTCGTGGCTCCCTTTGTCTTCCTGGCCTGGGGCAATGGTTTGGGGACACAAACAGGCTAAGGAGGGGTAAGAGCTAAAAAATGTGGGGACTACTGCTCTATAGTCATTTATTTATTCACATCGACTGTGTCTAGACTGGCCAATTTTTTCCAGAAAATCAGCCGCTTTTCCGGAAAAACTTGCCAGTTGTCTACACTGGCTGCTTGAATTTCCGCAAAAGCACTGACTTCCTACTGTAAGAAAATAGTGCTTCTTGCGGAAATACTATGTTGCTCCCATTCAGGCAAAAGTCCCTTTTGCACAAAAGCTTTTGCGCAAAAGGGCCAGTGTAGACAGCTCAGATTTGTTTTCCGCAAAAAAGCCCCGATCGCGAAAATGGCAATCGGGGCTTTTTTGCGGAAAAGCACGTCTGGATTGGCATGGACGCTGTTCTGCAAAAAGTGCTTTTGCGGAAAAGCATCCGTGCCAATCTAGACGCTCTTTTCCGAAAATGCTTTTAACGGAAAACTTTTCCGTTAAAAGCATTTCCGGAAAATCATCCCAATCTAGACGCAGCCACCATGTCTATACTATAGATGGTACAGCAGCTTAGGTACAGTGCTATAACTACGTTGCTGTTGTGCCATCACATAGACGTGTCTCACAGAGATGGAAAGGTTGGGTTTTTTCCCATTGCAGTAGGAGCTGCATATCCCGAGCATTGTTAGCTAGTTTGAAGAAAGTATTTGTCCATCAACCTCCCTCCCTGCATCTACACTAGAGGTTCAATTGGCCTGGCAGTGGCAGTCAGGAGTATGAATTTTTCACACCCCCTTAGCACCACAGCTATATGGGCCTAATTTTTAAGTGTAGATCAGATCTTTGTTTCCCCTGATGACTACTGAATTGTGTCAGGATAGGATTCGTGTGAAGTAGAACACGCCTATCCGAAAACTAGTCATGAGCCTTGGGATTATCATCTAGGACAAAACCAATTATATTGAAGGGGCCTGATTCTGATCTCAGTGAATCCAGTCTAGCACTGTTGATGTCAATGAAGTTATTCTTGCCTTATGCTGTAGATGAGACTCCCCTGTGCACTAGGAAGTATGAAATTGGTAGTTTAGTCATGCACATTTTCTATCTCAAATACTGAAAAGTACTGAATCAGAGGTATTCTCCCTTCTCACTAGCATGCCCTTACCTTGAGGAGCTGGCATGAACAGGGTGGTCAAGAGGAAATGAGTCAAGAGGAAAAAAGCATGTGCTTTTTTAATGTAACTATCTCATAAACTCAGACACATGGGACCTGATTCTGATCTCTGGTGGAAGGCCCAGATTCAACGACTCTTTTAAGAACATGCTAACTTTCAGCACATGCGTGAGTCACCTTGACTTCATCAGGAATTAAATGTGCGCTTAAAACTTGTTTCAGTGCTTTGTTGAATAAGGATGGGACTTCTCATGTTCTTAAAATTAAACATATGCTTAAAAGCATTGATTGAGTGAGGCCTAAAAATTTAGGACCACACTGTAGCCAGTGGTGTTACACTAGTCTAGATGAGATCAGAATCAGATCAGGCCCATGAAATAGTACTGATTTTAGCACCTATGGCTACCCCAAAGTTGCTACAAAGTTGACAATTATTGCTGTGCAGCACCACTTAAAATCTGATATGATAGAACTAAAGAGACATCATCAGCTTGAAATGTAGTTAGATGTGAAAATATGAATTAAATGCACCTGCAGCTATTAGCTGCCTTCGAGACTCACTGTCATATTTTTTATTTACAGTCACATATTCATGTATTTTAACATTTGTTTTTGCTTTTGCTGCATCAGAGACGCACAGATACAGCAGGTAGAATGGCCTACTTGTATCAGGAAACTAAAGCTATATACCAAGTGGTGTCAGATGCAGAGAGTAAGCAAATTGCAAAAACAACTGAGAAAAGAGCTTTTCTCCTTCTGAAGATGTACTTTGTTCGCTTGGATAAGAGCTACTGAAAATACATGGGATTTTGTGATATCATAACATAATCCTTGACCTTAGAGAAAGTCTGCAAAGGGTTGTATTTTCATGATGAATAAAAGGTCTCAGGGTTTTCAGAGAGCTTGTGTTCTTCAGAGCCTTCCCCACAAACATTTGGTCACAGTCATTGTCAGTATTGATTTCCCGACACAAAGTTATGCGTAAACAATTATCCAAAATACAGGGAGTGAAATCTTAGCTCCACTGAACTAGGCAGGCATTTTGCCATTGACTTCAGTGGGAGCCAGGGTTTTACTCAAGGGCCAGATTACCATATTTTTACACTTTTTTTTTTAATCGCTGTAGGGAATATACTTGTCTTCTGTATATGCCAATTCAGTTGTGCTGGTGAATTTCAGCCAACTCAAGTATCACAATCAAGGTCCATTGAAATCAGTGAGAGTCTTTCTTTGATATTAATGGGTTTTGCATGAGGTTCATATTGCATGTATAGCTTCATGAAAACACCCCCATTTAAGTAAATTATAAAATGTCACTGGAACCACTAAGTACTAGGGAACTGCAACAGGATTCAACTGGCCATACCTAGGAGTCCTATCAGAAACTAAGCTTTCACTCTGTTGGTGCATGATATATTTATTTAAAAGCTAGGTATTACATAGCAGTCTCAAATTCTCATAAAGCTTCCTACTTTGTATTGCATAATTTAAAGTTACTGGAAGTATTTTTTATTTGGGGGCTTTTTAAAATAGTATAACACAGTAATGAGTCAAGTGACCTCTTAGAATTGAAACTGGAGTTAGATAGTGGGCCAGATTCTGCTCTGTGTTACTCGGGTATAAATCACAAAGATTATTTCAAGTTCGTATTCATGTCCCTAGACTAACTGGACATTACAGCTCTTCTTCCTTCTTAAATTTTTGACCCAAAATTTGCCTTTTAAGTTTTTATGAGCTACCATGTTTAATAGTGATTAGCCCCAGAAATGTAACAGAAAAATCCAATTCTATCACATGTGAGATGTCACAAGATGAAGCGATGAAAAATTTCAGATTGGCACAAAATGCTGGTATCTTCTATAATTTGGGTATTTTAAGTGTCACAATGTATCAAACTGTCATAAAAATTGGAGACGTCAGTGGCTTATATTGTTGATTCCTCTTGCTTAGAATCAGACACCACTGCAAGCTTCAGTGATTGGTATTTCATAAAGTGTTTATTCCTTGTCTTCCAGCTGTCATAAAGCAGATGAGGAACGAGCAATGATAGTTAATATGAAATATATTAACTGTTTCTCTTTATTTAGCTTTGTTTAGAAAAATAGTATATAGCATGGGTAAGCCAAATGGATCAAACAGCTTATTGTTTGTTGGTTTCATCAAACCTTTGTTTCTCCCAGAAGTCTTTAATTCTCAGCACAGGTGGCTACAAATGTCAAATGATATACTTTCTGGGTAAGTGGTTCCTCTATTCTTAGTGGTCCCGAAGCCAGTACTGAAAGTATTGTGTCTATCTGCATTGCAGGAAGCAGATGAAGCTTTGCTATGTAATCTGGAACTTCAGCTTGAATCTCAGTTCCTGCAGGATGACATTAATGCCACAAAGGACAGGTACAAGAAGGTAATTACATTGAATTCCCCACCTCCCGGAAAGCTTCCTTCCAGAGAGGAGTCAGGAAGGAGGAAAAAAATGCGTTGCTAACCTTTGATCTGTTTTAGTGGACACTTCAAACATCTACAGGGTAAAAGTTGGTTGTTTTGTTTTATTGTATAAGGTTTAGACATGTACAGTGACCTCAGGGAAGACAGGGCACATTGGTGAACCAAATACATTCAGTTCAGTATTCTGGACCAACAAGTAGGCAGTTGTATTTTATCAAAGCTCACTCACTCAAGGCCAGCAGCCTGGAATCATTAATGTGATTAGCAGGATCTGCCTGAATCATCTATCATCATTTCATCTACAGAGGAGCCAGTTCTGCTTGAATCTTTCTGAGTACCATGCTATGCAGCTAGGTCAAGATCCTCAAATGTATGTAGGCAGGGGCGGATATAGGGCAGGGCGAGAGGGGCGGCTGCCCCAGGCCCCGCGCTTCAAGAAGCCCTGCGCATGCACCGTGGCAAAGGGGAGGCCCTGCCAAATTGGGCTGCCCTAGGCCCCGGAAAATTATCATCTGCTCCTGTATGTAGGCACCTTGCTCCCACTGAAATCAGTAGGAATCAGGTGACTGAATGGCTGTGATGATTCAGGTACTTACTCAAAGGCACTACAATTTGTTTCGTAGGGTTGCTTCATTCAAATTCTTTAAAGAGTCTGACTGGAGGACTATAGCCTGGCATTTGTTCGGAAAAGACCAACATTAAATACCTTTAAGAACCACATATAACCCGGGAATAGATTTGGTAAAAGGAGGGAAACAAACATTAATCCTTTTCTGCAGTTTGCTGGATTTTTTTCCCAGTGATAGTGATGGACACAAGTTTAAGTCATTGGGACAAAAACTAGAACAGGGTCAATGGTCAGTGACTCAAATAAGAGGCTGGACTAGGTGAATGTTTTCTGAGTGCATTTACAAAGTGTCGACTGAAAGGACTCAAAGTCCTACACCTTGGCCATACAAATGAAAATAACCCCCTTCCATTGGCCTTTATTTCACCAGTAACAACCTTTGCTCCTTCCACTCTTCCTCCATCGGTGATTAAATCACATCGTATTTGTTCCCTTAAAACATGAATACATAATACTGAATTAAGAATATGCTGCATCTCATCAGTAATCCAAAAGCTTTAGCAAAGTACTCTCTCTGAATGTGGTGACTGGGTTTCTGAACTGCTAACGCACGTAGAGCCAGTTCAGATGAATGGAAGTCCACTAGAGTCAGATTGGCATGCATTTATGACAGATCTGGATTTGATCCATGCCTTTATAATGAAAGAAGTTCTCAAGAAATAAATCATAGAAGTGCAGTCAGGCAAATTGAAATTTTCACTCCACTAATTAAAATGATTTTACTCCATCACAGAATCTCATGGAAATACAGACCTATGTCAGCATTTTACAACAGATCATCCAAATGACCCCTACTGTGACCAACATTACAGTTGGAATAAGTGAGGTAAGTGTTTCATCAAGTAAATAATTGCTGTTTAGCAAGCACTCACAATGTGATATTTCCCCTAAATACCTGAGATATTCCAGCTACTTCCTATTCTAAGCAGAGGGAGGTGCTATAATATCTATGAATACATGTGGAATTGCTAATGATGACTATAGAAGATCAAAGTTGGAGCACTGAGAAACCAAAGTTAGCTTTAGGAGATTAAATATCGAACAGGATGGCAGAAATCTTTGAACAGGGATTTATATTAGCCTGGTGTAATCTGGGAAATGTATCTATCAACCCTCATGTTAAAAGGCTAGTCCAGTAGCTGTAGGCTAGGCCCTCTCCAAACAGGCAAGATGGGGCAAGAACAGAAGACGTGAACCCTTGTGAATCAAACTGATTAGATGAAACAAAGGTGAGACAAAGGTGGTGGGTTTCACTTTCGCACCCATGTAGAATGTTCCCTAGGAAACAATTATTGTTTGGGAGTGAATGGCATAAGCAGGCATTTATCAGTCTGCTCCACAAAGCAGCATTTTCCTTTCAAAGGAAGTGAACTACTTTAAACTGTAAGCAGTGCTTCTACAAAGCCTCCATTGGGAACTTGAGACCATGAAAATTATGTAGCATGAGCCAGAGGTATCATCTTACCATTCATTTTGTCTTTTCAGATTGTCTTCAGGTACTGAACTCTCTGGTGGCATGTTTACACCATCAGACTTTCTTTTTTCTTTTTTTCTCAGGAAAAGCTGATAGCAGAAAGGAGAATTCCCATCTTGAAGACTCAGCTGGAAGAGTACAAGAGCATTCTTTGTCAGCTGCAGACTCAGAAATTGAAACTACAGACCGAGGTACTATACAACTAACTGGACAGTCTACAGTGACTCTTAGGGTGTGCCTAGACTACAGGGTTTTGTCGACAAAACTAGACTTTTGTCGAAAAAACTATACCTGCGTCTACACTGCCGCTGAGTTCTGTCGACATAACGTCGACAGAACTCAGCAGCTTTGTCGATGGCTGTAAACCTCATTTTATGAGGAATAACGCCTTTTGTCAACAGAGTTCTGTCGACAGAAGGCATTATTGAATCTACACTGTCCTTTTCGTCTACACTCTCATGTCAACAAAGTGGCTTGCTTTGTCGACAGAACTGGATGTAGTCTAGATGCTCTTTGTCGACTGCAGCTTTGTCGACAGTATCTGTCGACAGAATTTCTGTCGACAAAAGCCTGTAGTCTAGACATATCCTTACTGATTCAGGCTAGTGAAATCACAACAAATCAACTTCTAACATTGGAAAACACAGTGTGGCTGGCATTTAATGGGCTTTTGCGCATATAAATTATTTTCTACAAATAAGATGGATGAATGAGAAAGATTTTTTTTATTTGAGCTTTACCTTTCTCAACTTCCTCCTTCTAACAGACCCAACTGCGTGGGATGAAGACTTATATTGTTAGTTTCAGAGGGTCAGTTATTACTGTGTGATATCTGCTTAGTAGGATGAGTAAAAGCAGGTGGAGGCCTTAGTCCAGTACATGATGGAACAAATGCCCAGATCACAACTGGATCTCTGATGGACAGTCTTAGCAGACAGGCCAAGGACTCAAAGATCCATGGACTGATTCTCCCCTCCCACCCACCAATCCAGTATAAAATGTATTGGCAGCATAGGCATTGGCTTCTGCTCAATCCCTTCCTCCTCCCGGGCCCTGCCCCCTCTCCACCCCTTCCCTAACTCTGCCTGCCTCTTCCTGCCCTCATTCTGCCCCCACCCTTTTCACCAAGCCTCCATCCCTTCCCCAAGCACACCTCACAAGAGCCACCACTCTCAGCTGTTTTGGGGCAGCAGGAGGTGGTGGGAGAGGGGGGCAGGAGTAGATCAACGGGGATGCTGGCAGGTGGGTGGCATTGGGGGAAGGGGGCACAGTGCAGAACTTGGCTGCCCATGGATTCTGAACACCCACTGCACCCATCGAGTCAGCACCTGTAAGTGTAGGGATAAAACCAGAGGTCTTCAGAGCTGTCAGTTCAGTGATTTTCCTCAGGGCCTGTGCTGTGAGGGAGGTTGCATTGGATGATCACAACAGTCCCTTCTGGCCTTAAAAATCTATGAATTTCCTCAAAAAAGGCATGTCAGGTTTCATACAGCAGCCGACATACCTCCCTGAGAATGCTAACCAATGAATTAGCCCCAGCCAGGGCCCCCGGCAGCAACAGTTTCTGTGTCTGTGCAGTGCTGACTCCGAGAGCATGAGTCCCAAGGACTTTTCCTGCAGCTCCAGCCTGCCCCAGCCAAGAACTTCATAGTGCAGCTTAGATCTTTGGCCGCAACCCACCCAGAATTGCGATCCTGTCAGGCTAGGCTGAAAACAACAACCTAGGCCATGAATGTTGGGACCTATCCCCACCTGTAGGAAGGAGCTAACTAAGGGGTAGTCATAGCAAACAGTTAGCTTAGCAATGCAAGGAAAGGCTCCTTCGTGCCAGTTCCAGGGAGGGGGTTCTGATGCACAGCACCTCCCAGAGATCTTGGGAAGCACAGCCGGCCTCCACAGCTCTTATGCTCATTGCACAGAGGGGTTGGGCTCAGGCCACACCTCTTCCTCACCTGTAGGAAGGAGCTAACTAAGGGGTAGTCATAGCAAACAGTTAGCTTAGCAATGCAAGGAAAGGCTCCTTCGTGCCAGTTCCAGGGAGGGGGTTCTGATGCACAGCACCTCCCAGAGATCTTGGGAAGCACAGCCGGCCTCCACAGCTCTTATGCTCATTGCACAGAGGGGTTGGGCTCAGGCCACACCTCTTCCTCAGCCT